TCCAGAAAAGACCAAGTGCACTGTCCAGCCAACCCAGTGGTGTGCAAGAAAGCTGCAGACTGTTTCCAAGTGGCTGGACCACGTGGTGCTCCTACAAGCGGTGTTTGGGGAAGTTGGTGCTATGTGGCGGCTTCACCAGCACTTGGTGTGTCCGTCCGGGAAGGTTGGCCATTCTCGTGGGTGCGTGTTGGCATCTCACAGCTTGCACTTGCGTGTCATGACAATTAATGACACTGGCTCCCTTTCATGTGCTAGGTGGTTCCTTCTGTCTCCTCTTTCTGTACCGTACTCTAGTCTCACTGTTCTCTTCCCATTTGTGGATCACTGCACTTTTTATTACTGAGTTGTAGGAGTTTGTTTGGGGTATTGGTATTTTGTCAGGTATGTCTGGCTAATATTTTCTTTCAGTCTGACGCTTGCTGTGTTCTTACTGGTGGTGTCTTTGAGTGAGCCGATATTTTTTATTTTGAGGAAACCCACTTCGTTTTGTTTTCTTTCATGGTTATGTGGCCTGTAAGAAACCTTTGCCCGGATCACAAAGGGTCTGCATTACCCCGCTGAAGCTGTATAATTTGGGCACTTACACTTAGGTCTGTGATCGTCCTGAGTTCGTTTGGCGTGCGTTGTGAGGTGGGGCCTGAGGCACACCCTTCCCCCGTGGGGCTGTCCGGTTACTCCAGCGCCAGCTGTGGAAAAGGCTTTTCCCCGGCGGGTTGCTGTGGCGCCTTTGTTAAAACAGATGACAGTTTTAAGTATGTTTCTGTTTCTAGAATTGTTTCATTTATCTATATACCCATCCTAAAGGAATGCTGTATTACTAATTTGATTTACGTTTTGGGAGTACTGTGTATCTACATTCTGTGACATGTTGGTTGGTGTTATTTTTTGTCATTTCTTAATTACTGTAGTATGAAAAATCTTAAAGTTGGGTAGTATAAGTCTTCCAACTTTGCCCCTCTCCTCCCCTGCCCCCAAAGATTATTTTGATTATTCTAGATCCTTTGCATTTCTGTAAATTTTATTTTCAGTTTGTCATTTTCTACCCGGAAAACTGCTGCAGTTATGATTGGGGTTGCATTGAGTTTTTTAAAGTGAGTTTTATTGAGATACAACTGACATGCCGTGGAATTACTCCTTGAAAGCGTGTTCATTTCACTGGTTTTTAGTGGGTTCACAGATCTGTTCAACTGCCGCTACATTCCATTTAGAGCATTTTTATGTACCCTTAGAGTGCCACACCCTCACTTCCCCATGTCCAACTGATACACTTTCTGTCCATGGATTTGTCTGTTCTGAGCATTTTGTATAAATACAGTCATACTATGTGGTGTTCGGGATTGAATTCTGTACCCCCAAAACGTATGTGTTGAAGCTCCAACCGCAGTTTTACAGGGTTTGGAGATGGGGCCTTTGTGGGGGTGGGTAAGATTAAGTGAGGTCCTGAGACAGGTCCAGTGCCGCAGGGTCAGCGTCTCTATCAGAAGAGGGGGAGGCACCAGAGAGCGCTGGCTCTGAGGGTGCAGGGAGAAGCCTGCTGTCTGCACGCCCGGAAGAGGGTTCTCGCGGAAACCCACCTGGCGGCACCCGGGCTTGACTTCCGGCCTTCCCAACCGTGCAGTGCTTAGACAGTTTGCCAGGTAAATATGTACTTGTGATCACTGCTCTATGATGAGTGCTTATAGGTGTAATTACTATATTAAAAAGGATAGCATGTAAGGCTTTCACATATTTTTCAGTTTTGTTCTAGAAAACCTGTAGCAGTGTGCACTCCGACCCTCCAGTGGGTAGAGGCTCCTGTTCTCCTGCTGTCTCTGGGTCTGGTTTTTTGAAGACTGTTGTTAATGTAGCAGCTGCACATTAACAAACTGCCAAGAGACAGAGGTCAGGCTGCACTAGATAGCCAAAAAAATTCCCCGGGTACAAAGTAGAGCTGGCTGCTAGGTAAAAATGTATGCGCCTCTGTGGCAGCTTTTGAGGATTTGGGCAAGGGGTGGGCGGAAAACCGTGGCCACACAGAAGAGACAAAGCCTTGTTGCCCAGGCAAGTAACAGAGGCGGCGCAAACAGCAGTGTGAGGAAGTGTGACCATAAAACCAGAGCTGGCATCAGAGATGATCAGACACGGTGTTTTTAACGGAGTCTTCTGTGGCGGTGTGTCACACGAAGACATGGAGACGTGAAAGGCGGAAATAAGGAGGTAGAATGTAGGTATTAGGGGGAAAGTCTGACCAAAAGGTGGGAGTGACTCTATTGACATCAAATGTGAGGGATTTAGAGGCACTGTTGTTACCTCCCTTCAGTGAAGGAATGTCACTTCCAGCTCTGTTCACCAGGAATGCAGTTTCAAATTTGTACACTTCCTAACAGAGCCTCAGAAGATACAACAGATGTCGTAGAGCGTTGTAAGAAAAATGTACAGGTCCGTAGTCAGGGAAATCTCAATAGAGAATTTCACTAATTAATAAACAGACACATAACCATCAGGATAAGACTTGGAAGGCAGGCCGACCACCTTGCTACAGCAGGTCCACACAGTCAGGAAGGGGTGATCCCCGTAAGCTCATGCAGGGAAAGCCCACACAGCTCTAGGGCTCCTCCGTTTTAAAGAAACTAGCAAAAAGGTAACATTTTAAAAATTAATTTTAAAATGAAATAAAAAGTCTTCTAAGGTAAGAAGAATACCCTTTGGAAATCTTAAAAAATTATAAATAACTGAATTAAGAGAACTAATAGTGGAAAAAAGAAAATTTCACTGAATAAAGGAATTAAATATCAGACCTCGGTGGTGCAGCCAAAGTGGTCTGGGGCAGGAAACCTGTAGTTTTCAAGCTGACATTTAGAAGAGCAAAGAAGCAGAGAAATTGCAGAACTAGGCAACCAAGACAAGGATTTATAGAAAGACAATTGTAAAGAAAGAAGTAAGTTAAAAAGAGCAGAAATGAACTAAAGATACACTTGAAAATTCATAAATCCCAAACCAGTTCTTTAAAAAGACTAATAGAGTAGCCAGTGGCAAAATCAATCATAAAATCTATTTAAGGCTTCTTTACTTTTTAGCGAGAAGGCCAAACAGTGGGGCGGTGTACTGGAAAACTTCCGAGTAACACACCGGTACTTGTGGTGGGAAAGAATAGACCGTGCAGTGCACGGTGTGTGACCCATTGCTCACCCTCACGCAGTTGCACACATATAGAGGGGTGAGCAGCCTGCGTGTGGAAACCAGACTTCACGTAGAGTTGTGCTAAAAATTGGAGCCCACCAAATGAGTATCAGCAGAGGCTGTGCATGAGAGAAGGGACCGTCTTGTACATCCGCACCGTGCGGGACACTGCATGGAGCTGTAGCTGTCACAGGTCCTGACCGGAACAGATGGCATCAGCACATGCCCCTGTTACGGTCTGTGTCCTGTGTGGAAACACCCACAGGAGTGACAGAGACCAACGCCTGGGGGTCTTTGCCCCTCGGTGCGGTGGAGGGAGGAGTGGGCTGGGGAGCAGTAGTGGTGACCTCAGCTACTCTCTGTACTGGTTGATGTCCTGAAATGGGGGAGAGGGGTTGTTGGACGAAATGAGACAAGGCTGGGAGATAGTGAGATTTCTCCAAATTGGATCATGACCTAATGAGTTCATTGTGTATTGTAATCTGTGGTTCTCTCTGCATTTGAAACATTTAGTAAAATGATTCATTGTTTTAAGGCATAGTTCTCTGATTCCTGCTAAGGTTGAGGAATTTGGGGAGAACGGGTGGCCACTAATACATATTTCTTTTAGCTTTTGGGTTTTTCTGTTGGAATGCTGTGCCCATGTTTCTGTAGAGATTAATTTTTGCATATTTTAAATTATCTTAAGTTATTAAAGTAAAGATAGTAACAGTTAATTTAAGATATCTTTTACTAAAATCTTTTCAAAATTTCAGATTGTTTATGACTTTGCTTAGAAAGGCCTTTTCCAAACAGATCTGGAAAATATTCTTGTGTATTTTCTTTCTTTTATGGTTTCAATTTGTGTATTTTCTTAATCTCTTTCTAATTATTTTGGAATATAGATTATTTTTTTGAAATCTCTTCTTACCATAATGCCATTTATTGAATAATCCTTTTTTATCCACTAATTTTAAATACCTTTACTAAATTCTTAAAATATACCAGAATATAGTTTTATTTATATTTTTTTCTGTCTCAATAAGTATCAGCAAGTAAAATACACACCAGTACACTGCAGTAGTTTTAAAGGTTGTAACCCAGCAGTGGTTCGAGTCTCCTCCACCCTCATTCCCTGTCCTCTTTGCTCCTCCCCTCCCAGAGGCAGCTAGTTTAGACTTTGGCTGTTTCTTGGGATTTTCTGGGGTGTTGTGTTTTGTTTTGCTTTTACACATCTTCATAATTCTCAGTAGTATCTGTGTACTGCCCTAGTGGTTAACCATGCCGAGCATCTCTGACTTTCCCGTAGGAGTAAGTGGACTTGGTCTCTTGCCTGCTATTTCTTAAGCTTTGCATCCTTCATCCTGAAGATGTAGTTTGTTTAAATCTACTTATACATATTGTAAAGTTTTGGTTATTTTAGTAATTATACTGTATACTTCTGGAAATATAGCTAAACGTTGTAATAGACTGCGGTCATTAGCTTTCTGTTTTTACTGAAGAAGATCATTGCGACCTCGAACCTTGTTGCCTTCTCATACACTTGGGACCACTTCTTCAACAAAGTGTCAGTGGATGGTCTGGAAGGTCCAGCATCTTCTTAATGACCTTCCCCCTGAACCTTTCCTCCTCCCCCCACCTCCCGGGGTCGGCTGCTGTCCGGGACTGCAAACAAGCTTGTGAATGGGGCCGGTGCACTTGTAGCTTTATTGGGATGTGAGTAATGTGATCTCTTTTCTACTCTAGTGGTCAACAGGCTTTTGTCGCTACATTGGAAAGGTATTGATATTGAAATATTGTATAAGAAATACATTTGTACTGATCATTGTTCACATCATTGACTTCCTTAACTTTCCTTCAAGTCACGTTTATAACTACTGCACGAGTGTTCACCAGTCGAACCAGGCGCGAGGGGCTGGCGTCCCTCCTTCTAAATCGAAAAAGGGGCAGACGCCTGGGGGAGCGCAGTTTGTTGGCTTGGAATTATACAAACGACTTAAAGAATTTTTGAAGAATTACCTGACAAATCTTCTTAAGGTAAGACATTTTCCATATACGATGACCATTTCTAACAGCAAAACAAAAGGCAGCGGCATGATAAACGCAGCCTCAGTGCCGAGTCTTGCGCTGTCCTTTTCCGTCATTTTATCACCGATGTCCACCTGAGGGTGGTCGGACGTTTTCGGTGCCCTTGTGCCACGGCAGGAGTGCGCTTGCCTTAAACTGCTAGGCATTTGTCATTGGGTTGGAAATCAGAGAACCTTTATTGTAAGGCAGGTAATTACGAGTTCATGCTACCTATATTGTACTCGAAACCCAATGTGCTGTTCCAAATCAAAATGTACGAGTGATCAGAAGGTTTTCCCACCCTTGGTAGTCCCATTTTCCCAGTGTGAACCTTGACCTTGACACAGGACCATGTAGTGTTTCTCAACTACGGTGAAGTCATGTCCTTGCCTGGGATGGGTTTCACTAGAACACCCGGTGCCTGCCAGTGCGGGCTCCACCTGCTCCGAGCCTCTCTTGCTTGGGCGGCGGTGGGTGTTCCCTGCACCTTCTGCCTTTCTCTTCCCCAGTCTCCGTCCTCTGTAGCAAAGGCAGTGTGATGCCTTCCAACCAGCCACAGGGCCGGCCCGTGGCCCCCGCATCTGGTGCTACACATGTTGCCTTGAGTGAGTGACGACATCTTGGCCCTCTGTGTATATATTTTTTTAAGATTTTTGATTTACACAGACAATAGGCAGAAATTTCAGCACACCCCAAAATTGTTTTTCTAAATGTATCTTAACAAGGTAATTGGAAACTTGTAAAGATTCCAATAAACTACAATTAATTGACTGCCCTTTCGCGTTCCCTAAACTGTTTCCGATGTCTTGCTGAAGCCACCGTGTCCTTGTTTTTATTCACGACACTCTGTAAAGTGGACACTGGAACTCGTAATGACTAAATGAGGAACATATATTGTGTTGGCAGAAGTATTGGTTGCTGTGCTATCGGTGAGATTTTTGCCTTTTACGAAAGGTCATATACTGTGATCCAAAATAGCTGAGACATTTTATTTCTTATTTAAGTGTAAGTGAACAACAGTCTGGTGGTGTCAGGGGATCAGGTCTCCGTGTGGCTCTCCGGTCGCTGTGGACCACACAGTGTGAGCTGTTCCACACAAGGCCCCCCCCCCGGCCGGAGAGCCCAGAGCCTGAGAGCCACCCAGCCGGCCAGGCCCCTCGTCCCCGTTCCCGTTCGTGGAGGGCCCCTCCCTCTGCCTCCGCCTCCCCTTTCCTGGACGGGACATTTCAGTGATTCCGCAGTTTCGTGCTCAGCGTCGAAGGCTACATTTTGTAGATGTCATTAACACCTAAGGAAAAATTTTCAAGTTTCCTTCAAATACAAATCTGTAGTTTAAGTTGCAGACATCTTAGTAAAAATAATTTTCATTAATGCACATTTTCCTCATGAAGTCTTGTTAAAGAACTAGTCTATCATTATAGTTATAAACCACAAAAAGCTTTTAAACGTTTATAATTTTTAAGTAAATCTAATGAAGAAGGTAAATTAAAAAAATAAATGGTATTAGCCTATGGTCTAAATTGTTAATAGGACAAGTTAACTTTTTAACAGAAAATATCAAGAGGATGATTTTTGAGGTGAATTTTTATTTGTTAACAAAAAGGAATCACCCTCATTGTAAAAGTTCAGGGTTCTTTTTATGAGTGTATATGCATATTTAACACCATGAAAAAAAGTGCCAGTTTGAGATGAAAGAATTATTAAAATTCTCTCTTCAGTCCTCACGAGCTAGATTTGTATGAGAATTTAAATCAATGAGCGTGTCTTCGTGCACAGAGTGATTCAGAGAACCATCTGAAGCCATGCCCACCAGTGTGTTCTGGTGCAGTAGCTGTGTTTCAGTGCACTCCTGCCGTGTGACAGACTAACCGTCTTTAAGCTGGGGTTGCCTTGTTTGCAGGATGGAGAAGATCTGATGGATGAGAGTGTGCTGAAGTTCTACACGCAGCAGTGGGAAGACTACCGGTTCTCCAGCAAAGTCCTGAATGGAATTTGTGCCTACCTCAATAGACATTGGGTTCGCCGTGAGTGTGACGAAGGACGAAAAGGAATATATGAGATCTATTCTGTAAGATTTCTTAGGACACCTTTCAGATGTGTTTTCTGAGTGATGCATCATCTTTTCAGTGAGGGGCTCTAGGCAGATGTCACGCTGTTTCAGAACAACAAGCTAATTTCCCTTGTTTTAATTTATCAATAAATGACCCTTAGTTTGTGGCAAGAAAAGACAAGGGTGAGTAAACGGGAGTTCGGAAGTACACCCGCACACGCCTGTGTTGGTTACCGAAGTCCCTTCTTCGGTCACTTGACCAGCTGCCAGGTTTTGCCCGGGTCGCCCCGTGTCGCACTGCAAGCCCTTTGTGAAGTGACCGCTGGGATAGTTCTTCAGTGCTAAAGCGAGGCACTGCGCGCTGTGTGTGCAGAGGGGCTGGTGCCTGTGCTGTCGGCGGGCGTTTGCCTTTTACAAAGGGTCCTGTCCTGTGATCCAGGCTAGCTCAGGTTTACATCTCACTGCTTCTTACTTAGGTGGAAACGAACCGGACTGTGGTTGCATGGCGGTGTGGTCAGGTTTTCCTATGGCTGTCCCGGCAAAGCCAGGCCCATGCGGCCCTGACCCTACCCCAGGTTTGGGAAACTGCCTCACCGAGAGGACTGTGCGCTCCGCCCCCTACAGAGTAATGGGGTGCACAGAATGACAGTCATAGAGTTGAAAGTGGAGGGGTTTCTTTTAATACTGCACAAGAGCAGACTTCAAATTGGTAAATCACCTTCGTTGTTACGTTTCTTCAGTCAAGGAGGTTTTTCCTAAGCCCTCTAGTTTTCAAGGTGTGGTCCCCAAACCTGCAGCCTCACACCCCACCTGGGAACTTGTTCGGGTGCCGATGACTGGGCCTCAGCCTGGACTTCAGGAGAACCTGCCGGTGGGGCCCAGCGGTCTGCTTCGGCACACCGTCTGGTACACAGCCCGCTGGGAGCAGCCGTGGGGCAGCGTTGGCCGGAGGACTCGCAGCAGCCCGGCCTGCCTGCTGGTGACGGCTGTCAGAGACGCAGATGGGACCCTTCGAACCAGTCGTACGAAAATATCCAGCTCTGGGGAGTGAGATGGCTCTGTGTCCAAGAATGTTGCACAGCAGCGACGTTGCTTTGCTCTAGACCAATTTAACTAAACGAGAGAAAGAAAAACTTAATGTGACACAGGAGCATGACAGCACACTTCTATCGTTTATGTGTGCAGCTCAGTGTCTGTACCAAGGTGTTACTGCTTCACGATGATGATGATGATGATGATGATGCTTCGTTCCAGAGTTACGTGGCTTTAGCAAAACTCACTAGGCTCATTGTTCTGATGTGAGCTTCTTGTGCTTCCCCTTTCTTTTCCACTTACAAGCACATTCTTGCTGGTGTAGGAATCGGCATGAGTTGGGTCAGTTTCCTCTTGGAAGCCTACTTGACCTACAGCACCCCATACAACCTCTAATGGTGTCACTGAGTCCTGAAAGCCAGTCTTTCTGTTCACTTCTTCTCAACTGTATATATTCAGTGCAGTAAAGAAAGTATAAAGAAGTGCCAATACACTTTACAGAGTATGTTTCTCAAGACAAAACTGTGTTTTTTAAAAATTGCTTTTAAAATTCACCTTTTCTGTGTTCTTAAATGCTATAGTTACTGTTTGGAAATACAATACACTGCCATCAATTTTCAGTAAAGGCTAGAGACAGTATATCCTGTCCAGAAAGTATCCAGCCATGTTCTGAGAAATAGAAGCAGTTATTGAAGAAGATGCAAGAAACGTACACAGGACAGTGACGCCTCATACCCCTTCAAAGGAGGCACCTTGGGACCTCACACACTTCTCCCTGTTGCTATCACCTGCCCCATTGTGTTTTCTTGAATCTCCTCGATGGTCTGAAATCTCTTCCCTTTCAAAGATGATTTTAGTTTTGGGAGAAACCAGAAATCACAGGGCACCAAATCTGGGCTGTAGGGGAGCTGAGTCACCTGGATGATTTGATGTTTCCCCAAAAACCTCTGCATAAAACAATGCATGAGCAGGTGCATTGTCGTGATGAAGCTGCCGATCACCAGTTGCCCATAGCTGCAGCCTTCTGAGTCATCTGAATCATCCGAATAGTTTTCATGGAGGAATGTTCAGCTTCATGCAAAATCTGATGCAGATTCATTACTCCACTCGCCCAGTCATTTTGAATGTGACGGCCACACAGTGCACGTGCTCACTCAGCAGCGTCTACCATCCCCACTGACCAGTACAGTGAAGTCGTCATGTCCATGCATGCGCATTCCAGTCCCCTCGCCGGTGCCGGTTTACATCGATGTCACACAAACCATTCTCATTGTATAAACAATGGCTAACGGCTGGACTGTTTCTGAACAGGCCTTGTATGTTCTTCCAAGGAGCCTGTTTAATTCACTTAAAGTTCAAGCCTCAGTAGACACAACACGGTGGTTTTCATACAGTAACCTCATCGTGTTTTCCAGAATCTCCAGAAGATGAGGATGCTTTCTTATGAAATAAGTTTTACTTTTTCCTGATAATTCTTTTTCCTTTTGTAATTATAAAGTTCTGTAAAAAGAGCGGTTAGCGCCTTTCCAGTCAACCAGCAGACATAAGTTAACTTCACGGTTGATACGGTAGTGGCCCAGCATACTTCTCCCCAGAGCATGCCCGCGGTGCTGCTGTGATTTACCTCTGGTCCTGCTGTCCGCTCTTGCCTGGCTCCTCTTCCTCTCTCTCTTCAAAGCGACACATTGTCCAGAGTCACATTAGGACTGTCTAAAGCTGTCTGAGTTTAGGAAGGGTATGTTCAGAAGAAGTTACTGTTATGTGGTGTGTCTTTCCTGAAAGTTCACAGTCACTGCATCGCTCCTGCTCTGGAGAGGAACACAAGGGTGTATGTTTTTCAGGCTTTGTGTGTGTGGAAATACCACTCAGTGAAAGTTCACTATAGAAATTAAAGTTTTATATAATTCGGGAAGATATATCTTATATAAACCCAGTTTTATCTATGGTTGCATTTGTGGAAAATAAGACCGATCCCATTTATGTTTAAATGAATTTCTCAACCATTTGTATTTGAGTATTGTTATAAATTTGAATATTATTTCAGCTAAATAATGCCTCTCAACAAATAGATTAAAAGTTATGTGTGAGTTATAACGATTTTCTTTTGGAGAGACTTTTTATAGTCACTTTCTGATATAGCCTCTGTGTAAGTTTTTTAAACTTTTAAAAATTATCTTCATTAAGTATCTCAGATCAAAAATCAAGTTTGACCCAGGGAATAATTTTATAGATTGCATTCACTTCTGCCCTTTAAACTGATATGTACATTCTCCTTAAGTTCAATTTTTATGTTCCTTGTGAAATGTGAACTGACACACATCCGTACTTTTGATGGATGTTAAACATCCTCTTGAAGATGTTAACTTGGGGAGTGGCTCTTATTTCATTGGGTTGATAGATTTTCATAAAGTTACAGTCCAAAACACTGATCAATATAATCAGGGATTCTAGCTGTTTCCTGTGGCTTCAGTATTAGAAAAACAGTAAAAGTACAGACATTTTATACTTTCCCTTTTTCTTTTTCTCCAGCTCGCATTGGTGACTTGGAGAGATTGTCTGTTCAGGCCCTTGAACAAACAGGTACCTGCTTGTGTGAGTGCGGGCGGCTTTCTCCTAAAATCCCAGGCAGATCTCGCCTCTTAGCCATTGTCTCCCCTCTCAGGAGGACCTCTCATCTTGCGTTGTGTAATGGATGGAAATGCTTAAGAGATGTGCAGTCACATGATACTGATTGTAGCCTGTAACCTGCATGTCTTTTTCCTGTGTCCTTTCTACAGGTAACCAATGCTGTTTTAAAACTGATCGAAAAGGAAAGAAACGGCGAAACCATCAACACGAGGCTGATCAGTGGGGTTGTACAGTCTTACGGTAAAGACTTTTCCTTCAGTTTATTCATCGAGTGTCAATTGTAACAGTACCCCAACAGGTTCATTTTGAAAAGATTTTAGGCTTTCCCCCCCCCAACAATACTGTTAGTGTTACAGGTGCTCATAATTCTCTTTTAAGTCATTGTGATTCTTTTCGATATTACTGATCATAAAATTTTTTGATCCTTGTAATTGTACCTTTATGGAAATTTTGATGGGATAGACACTGAATTATGTTCTCTTCTGGTCTCATGCTGAATTTGCTGGGTATACAATATGGCAGTGTCATTGATAGAGCTGAATTATAAGTAGAAATTTATATTAGATTAGATTCTAGTAAAGTAATACAGTGCTTGAAAAAAGTAGCTTTGTATTTTTTTTTAAAGTTTAAGATTAGTCATTTTTCTTATGTTCACACTTTCAGGAAATATAAAAGTTACCTAAATAAACCTCATGATAACTTTGAAACATGCCTGGCCATGAGTCAGGATTACTTGCTTTTGTGTGTCTAGGGTTTTTTTGTTGTTGTTTTTTATGTAATCAATGTGCTTTGATACTGGCAAATAAGACTTTATGTCCTGCCATTTTCACATTTACTTTTTTATTTTAGAGAGAGAGAAAAACATTGATTTGTTGTTCCACTTACTTGTGCATTCATTGGTGGTTTCTTGTATGTTCCCTGACTGGGGATTGAACCCCCACAATCTTGGCCTGTCAGGACAATGTTCTAACCAACTGAGCTACCTGGCCAGGGCCATATTTACCGTTTAAACACAACTTAAACTTGATGCTACACCTAAATATATTCTGTAAAATATAACAAAAAAATAGAGTAATTGAAATATAGTTCATATTTCTTTCTAGTGGAATTGGGGCTGAATGAAGATGATGCATTTGCAAAGGGCCCTACGTTAACGGTGTATAAAGAATCCTTTGAGTCTCAGTTTTTGGCTGACACAGAGAGATTTTATACCAGAGAGAGTACTGAATTCTTGCAGCAGAACCCAGTTACGGAATACATGAAAAAGGTAAGCTTCAATACAGTACTCCGAGTGGACTTCCATTAGAAGTTACTCCTGCCAGAGGAACCCGTCTCTCCAGCGCTCAGATGTCATTCTTGGGCATTGTTGCTGTGCGTGCCTGCAGTGCGTGCCTGCAGTGCGAGTCTGCTGTGCGTGCCTGCAGTGCGAGTCTGCTGTGCGTGCCTGCAGTGCGTGCCTGCAGTGCGTGCCTGCTGTGTGTGCCTGCAGTGCGTGCCTGCAGTGCGAGTCTGTGCGTGCCTGCGCGTGCCTGCAGTGCGAGTCTGCTGTGCGTGCCTGCAGTCGAGTCTGCAATGTGAGTCTGCAGTGTGTGCCTGCAGTGCGAGTCTGCTGTGCGTGCCTGCAGTGCGTGCCTACAGTGCAAGTCTGTTGTGCGTGCCTGCTGTGCGTGCCTGCAGTGCGTGCCTGCAGTGCGAGTCTGCTGTGTGTGTCTGCAGTGCGCACAGACACTCCTGTCTCAACGGGCTTGCGTAGAAGAGCCTGATCGTCACAACCCCGTGCTGTCTCCCCTGTCCTGAGGGTAGAACCACAGTAGTTGTATGACTTGTGCGGTTTGCACTGTCTCGTCATCTGGTGCAAGCCACAGTCTCACCGTGTCAAGAGAAAATACGTTTTTAACGAGTAGTCTCAGATCTGCAGACTCAAGCTTCACTTTTTTGCTTCCAAACTGTCTCCTAAAAATCCATGGCTTGGCCTTCAGTCTGTGTTAGAGGAGAGGCCGTCCTGATGCCCATAGGAGCCTGGTCCTCATGTGGGAGGTTAGGGCGGGCCTGGGCCGTGGAGCCGCCTCCGTAACGGGCAGTGTCGCCATAAGGTTCCAGTACGGCTGTTCTTTGTTCTTTCTTGGGGGCTCCAGCCATCCTAGATTTTCGCTCAGAGGAGTGACCCCGGTCAGGAGTCAGCAAACTTTCTACAGAGGCCCGGCAGTAAACGGTGCAGACTTGGCCCATCTGTGGTCTCCGTGCAGCTGTTCAGCTCTGCACTGCAGAGCTGCCCAAACAGCCACGGCGGTGCCTGCCCCGGTTGGAGTGGCCATGTTCCAGTAAGACTTGACTCGTCTCCGGGCAGGTTTTGGCACAACCGAGATATGCAAGATTTCCAGGGAGTCCAGGGCTGACTGGCCTGGCGTGTGCTTCGCCCCTGGTGCTCTGTTCACGCAGGCTGCAGACTCTCTTGCCTGCACACTGAGCTAGAGTGTCAGTAAGTCGCTTCCTCAGAGCGGCAGCTCCCTCTCTCACCAGGTCAGGTCCCTCCCACTGGTGTTGACCTTCTGAGTGCATTGCCCCGTAGGAGATAGTAATGATAAGTGGGCCTTGGAAGTTGGACGTCCTTGACACACAAATTTTTGGTATCTCAAAACCTAGCAAAAATGAAACTCTTCAGAAGTGTGGAGTAGTAACAGTTCTTTGTGTATGTTTATGCTTGAGCTAGCTTTTGTATGCTGACCTAGAACGTAACCAGCTCATTCAGAGTTTCAAACAGCTGCCTGACAGACAGACTTTTGAAACCATCTGTTTTGGCATTGCCTGTCATTTCATAAATATGACATCTGTTGAACTCTGCCATTTATGTTGAGTCTTTTTAAATGGGGCATGTTTTAAAAGTGAGGCCTTTATCAATAGGTCAAGGTGCACATCACTGTAGGAAGCAAGCGTATTCTTCCCATGAACATCACTGTGGGCCGTGGCCCTGTCAGTGGCCCGCCCTGAGGAGCGGTGGAGTCCCCAGTGCAGCCAGCTCAGCTGGCTAGGCCAGAGCTGCACAAGTGCTCCAGAGCAGGGTGTGGCCTGTTCACAAAATCAGGCACGGAACCAGCGGCAACTCAAGGAGCAAAGATCTGTAACCAAACAGTTATGCTCTTACCTGCTCACAAATCTGGCTGAGTCTAGCTTTAAACCCCCACACCTCCATTTACTAGGGGGTTGGTCTTAACCTTCTGTTCCTCAGATGCTTCATCTGCAAAATGGGAGTGATAAGCTGTTATAAATGTATGTCTTATACTTGGCGAAGAGCAAGCACGATGTGCTGGGCGTTGCACTGTACATTGTTCAGAACCTCCAGTGTGTCTGAGGGTGTGCAGAACCACAGGATGCTGGGGGCACGTTTTATGCAGTAACCTGTGGGGAAATTGTGCTTATATTACAATGTTCTAGTGGAACATAGAACACAGAACTCATGAACAATACTGAGATCAAGAAAGATGTATTCTGCTTTCGCAGCAACTTGTACCAGTGCCCAGATTCTTGGGGGTCTCTGCTCCCTTTTCTGTGTTGTTCGGAATCCTCAAGTGGCTTCTCTCCCTGAGAACGATGGGTTCCGTGAGCGAACAGCACTAGGCCTGAGCCCCTGCAGTGTTGTGACACGTCTCACCGTCTCAGGTCGTGGAGACCAGTCCGAGCTACTGAAAATCTGCACGGCTCTTCTGGGTTTCCAGTGTTGTTTAAAACGTTTGAAAAATGGCATGCTTTCATTAATTTGCTTACCTTTTTGGGGGGTTTTTTCCTTTTGTTTTTACCATAAACTGATTCTAATAGAATTAATAGGGACAGTCTTTAATTGCTTAATTTTTAGTCATTTTGAATTTCATCTTGGTATTATCATGCACTTACTGCCAAGTCCAGTGACAGTCAAGAGCTTGACCTGAAATCAGCCAAGGAGCCCTGGGCTGGTGTGGCTCAGTGGATTGAGCATGGGGCCTGCAAACCAAAGGGTTGCTCGTTCGGTTTGCAGTCTAGGGCACATACCTGGGTTGCAGGCCTGGTCTCCAGTAGGGGGCCTCTGAGAGGCAACCATACATAGATGTTCCTCTCCCTGTCTTTCTCCTTCCCTTCCCCCCCTCTAAAAATAAATAAATAAAATCTTTAAAAATAAATAAATAAAATAAAATCAACCAAGGATGTAAATGGCTGTCCTCCCTGAAACCTACTAGTACAACACCTAGGGCCTTGGTTTCTTTCTCTGTGAGTAAAACCAGTGATTACCGAGGCCCCTCTGGCCTTCAGGGTACCAGTTCCAGTTCCCTTCCCTCCTGGCCGCTTCGGGAAGGGTCTGCAGAGTGCGGCCTCTGGTGCAGACCTCCGGACGGAGAGCACGTGCCCCAGCGTGAATCGGCCTTGTCTGGGAAGCGGTCAAGTTTGTTGCAGGAGAAAGAGTTTTTAAGAGAGATCTGAGTTTTTACTGCCCAAGATGATTATGTTCTTGCAGGAAATGATTTAACTTAAAACAGAAAAAGTGGCACTTTGGGGTTTGCACACCCTGTGTTTCATCAGCTTTATCTCCTGAGGTGTGTCGTGCTTAATGCAGCACTAGATAGCAAAGCAGCGGCCCTTAGACCCCTGAGTCACAGCACATAAAGGTCTCTTCCTGCGTTTTAAAGTAACTGTAATCGGAGAAAAATGCACAATAACTGTAGGCTTTGGGGGAAATATAAGTAAAACAAGGTTGTGGCACTATTACTAAGTATGTATACTAAACCAAAATGGAGTAATGCTGTAGGGCTTTTGCGAGCTTTTTTTCCCACTAATAATTTACTTTATGCTTATTTATTTTATTGTAAAATAGTGTTTCTTTAACCAAATATGCTATATTTAATTAACTCTTATTGGAAACTAAAGTTTTTTATGTTTCATCTGTCAATTTTTTTTAAGATTTTATTTTTAGAGAGAAGGGAAGGAGAAAGGGAGAGAAACATCAAGGTTTGGTTGCCTCTCATGCGCCCTGTACTGGGGACCTGACCTGCAACCCAGGCATGTGCCCTGGACTGGGAATTGAACCAGCAACCAGTTTGTAGGCCAGCACTCGATCCACTGAGCCACACCAACCAGGGCTGTAAATTGTTTCTTTTCCTTTTCCATGTTTTTATGTGGCTGTTTGTGATTTTTCAGGGATCAGTAATATGTTAAGGGTATTGACCTTTTTATAACTACTACAGCTATTGTTTGTTTATTGTTAACCAGTAATTATTTAGGTTTTAATCTAACTTCTGTAGTTTAAACGGTTGTCCCTCTGTTGCTAATTGTTGACAGTTGCCAGTTCTAATTGGTTTTTTCATTTTATGTTTTCTTGGCTCTTGGATGTGTATTCTTCCAGTTGAAGTTTTCCAGATTTCTCCAAAATTACAGCAAATTTAAAAATTGTTTTGGAGACTATTGGCATTTTTATAATGAGAATGTCATTTCTGTCTTTTCTTTCAAATTGTGTGAATAATTTCAGATTATCACTGAAACGTCTTTTGCTGTAGTAATTTAGTGGTCTCTCAGTGGTACTTTATACCACACATGTCTCTGGTATGATGTAAAAATACATGACTTCTGTTAGTTTTGCTCCTCTGTTGAACTAAGCTGTCTTTGTTTTCTTTCTCGAAGGGAAGTGTAAGAAACAGAGGTGCATGTTTAATGATCGGCAAGAAATTGGCCATAATGTTTTTTATTTAATTTTTTAAAAAATCTAATTACCAATAATTACTCTCACGTGGATGTTTCAGGAATGAGAGTTCTAGTCCAAATAGCTGCCAGTCCGCAGCAGTGGTCCTTGGCGCTGTGCACGCAGGACAGGCCCGAGGCCACGACAGTGTCAGATAGAGGGCTCCCCCCAGGTGACACGCTGCGTGTCGGGAGGAAGGACACTGAGCTGTGTAACCTCATCCAGTCGTGTAAAGAGGAGGCCGGTGGGAAGTGTGTGGTGCAGAGACGAGGAAACGCACCAGTGGCCCCTTCAGTACGGCTGCGTTCACCCCGACATCAAAGAACCCCTCCTCCCTTTTCTCTCAAACTGTGTCTTACCGGAGCAGGTGTGTGAGTTTAGCTTGCCGTTCTTCACGTCACAGTTCTTCTCAAGTGAGTCCCATCCACCCGCAGGCAGAGGCCCGTCTGCTGGAGGAGCAGCGGCGCGTGCAGGTCTACCTTCACGAGAGCACCCAGGACGAGCTGGCGCGCAAGTGCGAGCAGGTGCTCATCGAGAAGCACCTGGAGATCTTCCACACGGAGTTCCAGAACTTGCTGGATGCCGACAAGAACGAAGGTGAGCCGCTCCGCCTCCAGACCTGCGGGTATTTATTACTGTCTGTGGTTTTGAAGGTGAAATTCTCGCCTCAGAGTTAATGGCGTTATGAACACCCGTCAGTTTTTAGAGATTGATGTGCGTCTGCATTGTCGTGGATCGACCACAGACCCTGGGGAGGTTTTGGGTGTGGCTTTGGGGAAGAGCATCTTTTCAGTGTAGTTTGAAGTACCACTTGTTGCATGACTTTAACATTAAGATAGCGCCCCTGGTTTTGTTTTGGAACTTTTTTCTTTTGAAAATTCTTGGAGATGAAAAAGCAGTTCTTTTGTAGTTCTCTTATCCCTCATGTTTTACTGGGGTGTATTAGGAGCTCAATAAAAAGATGGATTTGGGGATTTGGGGTTTTTCTTCCTTGGCGCTCACAAATTAACATCTGCCATCCATACAATAAATGAGGAACTTGGGGCTCTATCATGATTCATTTGTTTGTATAGTTGAGGTGGATGTTTGCATTTCCTTAAATTAATCATTTTTTCAAATAAATTTGTGAGCACCTGGTATGTGCCAGGCATAGATTTAATCTTGATGCTTAGGAAGCATCAGATGTTTCTTGATAAGAAGTTTTTTCTCTGCTGCGCTGGTGGATTCTCACAGTGAGAGGAAAAATAAAATTTTAGTGATGCGTGACTTTGTTGTTACTGCCAGCTAAACACGCTATGCTAACTGCAAAATATGTAATGAAGTCTAGAAACATGGCTATTTCACTTCAGGGTATTGTTCCTCTCGGGTTAAACACACACTTGTGGGGTGGGTGTGCAGAGTTTAACTCGGTGCGTAAAGGTGCTGCCTTTTTCTTTCAGATTTGGGTCGCATGTATAACCTTGTGTCTCGAATCCAGGATGGCCTAGGAGAACTGAAAAAACTTCTGGAGACGCACATTCACAATCAGGGCCTCGCAGCCATCGAAAAGTGCGGAGAGGCTGCTCTAAATGTGAGTGCCATCCCACGGCGGTGCGGCCGGGCCGGAATGCAGGCCTGTGCCGTGGGTCTCTGTTCCCGGACCCGGGTGTGAGCTTCGTTTGCCGCTGAGTTCCCCAAACCCACCCCCACCCCCAGAGAGAACCTTGTGTGGCTTTAAAGACAGTGCACAGCACTGTGTAGCAGACACCTCCAGAAACTCTCCTGTGGCACTCCTCAGGCAGTAGGGGTGTCCTTTCTGTATACGTTTATTCCCGTATATCCTCTACTGCGCTCTGCCCACTAGAAGATTCCACCCCAGGGAGAATAGGCCAGAGCCGCCGCCTCCTTGGAGCTTTGCTCTGGCCCTGCCAGGCCCCAGGCTGGGCCTTTTGGGGACATTAACGGAGGACTGACTGCCTTCCAGGTGAGGGTCACAGGGCTGCTGGCCCTGGCGAGGCCCCGAAATGTGTAGCATTCCTCACCCACCTGCTCTGCCACCGGGGTGTGTGGGGCGTGCCTGCCGGGTTACCTGTGTGTCACGTAACGATGTTACACAGAAAGTGTCGCCGTGTCCGAGACAGGTGGGTTGTCTTCAGTCGTGTCCCTGTCGTGAACTGTAATTCTAGCTGTCGGGGACAGCTAGTGGAGAAGGAACTCTTCTGGGGCGCAGTTGGTGCCGATGCCTGCCCCAGAGAGCGTCCTGTCTCCCTGCCGTCACTGTGTCCTGTTGTTTCGGGCCAGGCGCGCTCCGTCACTGTGTGTTTCAAAAGCCTTGTGCCCCCGCTCTCTGTCTGGGAGACCCCTTTCCACTGCCGGCCCTGGGGCTTGCTGCCTCGCTCGCTGCCACATCTGGGAGTTACCGGGTGAATGTAAATTCCTTCCTTTAGGTTCATGAAACAATTGATTTTATGCCTACAAGGTGGAAGGGAGCTGGCGCAGCAGTGGGTTTGGTGGGGAGAACACCAGGGTTTAGTGTAAGCCTGAGGATGACGTCACAGCCGTGGGACATACGGGGTGTGACAGGAGCCAGGGAGCGCTGGCCCCGCCCCCGGCACTGACTGGGGCCTTCAGCTGCCTTTCCTGTCAGTGTGGGAAGAAGCGGGCTAGTGATAGTGACGAGCGGAGAGCTTGTGAACAAACGTTTGTAATGTGCTGGCATCTTGTTTCCAAAACAAGTGCCCTTTTTACAGGGCTTGGTAGACACACCCACCCACACACGTGATTCGGAAGGGGCTGGCATGGCGAAGATGCTGTTTGTATAGTGGAAGGTGTTTTCATGGCCATTCAATCAAAGGTCGGCCGTTTGAGCAGAGAGCCAAGCATTAAAATTTTAGACTTCCCTTGCAGTGAGTTGGGGGTCCCGTCTGTCGTTTTCTGGGATGAGGGTCAGAGGAGTTCAGAAAAATGGAGCCGGTTTTGCTTTTCTGTGTAAACTGTTACGTGTCAGATGCGCGAGGTTGGCCTCGGGGCACTCATGTTCCAAGTGAATATGGTTACATTAAAAATTGCTTTTTTTGTCTTCATAGAATGAGGGCATATTACTTCTAATGTCTGTTTTTTCTCAAACCAAAGTAGCGGCCTAAACTGGAGAGAGGGTCATTCTGTGATTCTCGAGTGCCACCGTGGTCTCCGTCATTTGGACGCGGTCCACAGCCCACCTGGCTTGGTCCGTGCGGCTTGTCCTTGTCTTTACTTCTCCGTGGACAGTTACAGCAGAAGTCCAGCTTCTGGCCAAACTGTTTTTCTCTTTGTGGAAACTTAACCATTAGCAGGCAGCAGCACAGTGAAACTATATTTACCAACAGTTACATTTTACTAGAAAGTTAAATCTTCACATAATGTAATACTTTTATTACTTAAATGTCAGCAACTCAGGAACCTGAACTTAAAAACCAAAACAAAGATTTCCCCATGAAGAATAATTACATAAAACTTAGTAAACGTGCATTGAGTCTGCCTTAACTTTTCAAGCACACATTTCTTTAATGTTACTAATTAGAATTATTATTTCCATGGGAACTTTTTCTATTGAACTCATGAGACTGGTTTTTTCTTTGTAAAAAAAAATTTTTTTTTTATGAAAGCAAGTACTTTTATTTTCTGCAAAAGAAGTTTTTTCCCAAATTTCTGTCTTAACTCTCTTTCAAAAGTCTTAGTGGACTCGTACGTGGCAGGGCCGTCTGCTCGAGTGGGTGCAGCCCAGTCCCCTGGGTCTGGGCCGTGGCTGTGCCTGTGTTCACTGCCAGGGGAAGCCCTGCTACCTGCAGTCTCAGCATGTTTGCCTGTGCTTAGCCTGGCCCACAGTAGGTGCTTGAGTCCTTGTAAGAACAAAGCGATGCAGCTGCTAACCTGTAACTTTAAGTAGGCGTTCATTTTCATCACGTCTGCAGTCAAATGTAGGAGGCACGTTGTGGCCGAGCCGTGGTAATTTTCCAGAGCCCACTGATGCTAAAAAAATGCAGCAGGGATTTGTTGGAATTAGATTTAAAAAAAATACACATACACACAATTATACGTACTCTTAGAAGGGATTTACTTACTTTGAGAGCACAGTTTTTAAACTCAGAGAGTGCCTGCCAGAGTTGAGTCATGGCGCAGGAGAACTGTCGTACGCGGCCTGTGCACTGCCACAGAACGCACCGCCTCTGCACTTTCAGGGCCGAAGCCCATTACCTGGCCCCGTGATTTCCTTTTCACCTTTGGTTTGGTTAGAAAGCAGTTTTACTGCTAGTCAGTCTGGCCTAGATTGACATCATCACAGGTTTCAAATTGGTAAGGCAACTCAAATAAGATTTAAGTGTTAGAGACCTCAGTATCTGCTTAAGAATTTTCCGAAGGCACTTTTTCCATCGTTAAAACAACATAAAGGCTCTCCCGGAATACCTGACACAGGAAGTCCCTGCAGCGCCTCCCCCTTCCGACAGTCACCCCCTCAGTGAGGTGCCCTGAAGAGTCCAGAACGTGCGCTATTTCTGGGACCTGCCCTGCACCAGGCCGAGCTGTGCTCCAGGGGTGTGGGCGGGAGCAGGAGGGCCCCCCAGCTCCCCTGGTGCAGAGTTCCCGGGTGTGGGGAAGAGTCCCCTCAGGGGCCAGGGCGTCGTGCCTCACTGAGGGGCTGCAGGGTGCGCCAGGGTTTGGCACTGGGGAGCCAGTCGGACTTGGGGACCTGGTGCCCAGAAACACGCCCTTGGATGGGGCTGGAGACTGGTCCAGAGCCGAACGAAGGCTCCGGTGTGTGGCTCTGTGATGGGCAGGTTTGTTCCATAGACCAGCTACCCACGTGTGACTTCTGGACTGAGCGGAGACAGTGGGCAGTGTGGTGAATGTGGGCCTTTACCCTTTGCTGGAACTCCGTCGGGAGTCAGATTGTGGGAGATGTATGTTCGTAGACAGACCGGAGCCTGTGACTGTGTTTGGCCACCGGCAGCACAGGGGACACTAACGGGCATCGTGGTGCAGGAGGATGGTGCGCCCTGTGCTCTTCAGGCTCTTAGGACCATCTTGAAAGGGCAGCGCACACCTCAGGCGCTCGTTCTTAAACATGGAAACCCCTGGGTGGCTGGCCCTCTGCAGGGGAGGCTGGTGCTCTCTCCGTGTGTAAAATCTCCCAAAGCAACTAGCTGCCTGGTGCTGCCTGGTGTTGCAACTCAGCCAACAGATGGTGCAGATAAAGTTGAAATCGTTGTTTTCACTCATTCAACAGGCATTCGTGGCATTCCTGCCATGTACTCAGCGTCAGGAATTCTGCATTAAAATGCCTTGCCTTTGTCCTCTCATCGAGTCCCATGGCCTCACCTTCAGTGTCCCCTGCCTTCTCCTTGGCCTGTGGCAGCGTTAGTAATCCAATATGGGATAATTTCCTCCTGAGTCTGGACACACTCCGACCCCTCAGACCGGGAGGCAGCCCCCTCCCCGCCCCCCGCAGCAGCGCCGTGTCGGCCGCCTGCCGTGGGTGAGGGGTCCGGGCGTGTTCCCTCCAGTCCCAAAGCTGCCATCTCAGCCTGGGCTCTGTCGTTTCGTCTCACTGACGGTCTGCCACCTCTCCCGTTCCCACTGACCCCACAGAGCGCCAAGCAGTCTGATCTTTGAGAAGTGCCACTTAACGCGTTAACGGTTTTTTCCCCACGTTCATTTGTTTTAAAGCAAAGTGCAGCCTCTTCCCCACAGTAATGTACTAAATCTGCAACATCAGATCAGAATCCTCCTCCTGCGTGCCCCATTCTGACGAGCCTCGTCCCCCAGGGAACCGCAGGCTCCCGTGTCCCCAGCCCCTCCCTGTTTCCCCACGCGCCGCCGCCTGAGAAGACGACCAGTCTGCGCTGAGCGACCGCACCTCCGTGTCCCGGCCACACCTCCCTCTCGGCCACGTGCCGCTCCTGCGTGTGCGGGTCCTGTGTCTCCTGTCGCTGCGCCGTCCTTGGTGGTCCCCCGAGAGGGAAGCCGACCCCTCACCACGGTGTACGCTCTGCGGTCTCTTGCTGGCGTCTCCCAAAGTGCACATCGGTGACGGCCACCCCCTCCCCTGTCGTGTCCCCTTGTCACCCACGTCCTGTCCCTCCCCTGAACTGGTGTGTCCTCGCTGTCGCAGGAACACGCCCTCCGTGCCTGCCACTCCATCTCTGCGTAGACACGTGCCTTCTTTCATTTTTCAGAACCCAGCTGAGGTGCCATTTCCTCCACAAACCTTTCTCTATCACCCCCTTGAAATAGTAGCATGTTGGGCTGTTTAGGTGACATTCACACTACTTTATACATCAGACGTCTGCATAAATGTCCCCTACGGGACGGCTTCGTCCATCTTCCAGTCCATCTTCCAGTCCTCAGAGCTCCGCACAGAGCCCTGTACAGGGCAGTGTCTCTGGTGCTTCAGTCTCCGCCACACACGGTGCCCCCGCAGTCCCCAGGGCTGCACACGCCCTGAAGTGCCTGAAGGACAGCAGGAAAGATGGAGCCCAGTAACCGTTCTGTGGACAGAAACGGGGGCAGGGGTGACCGTCACTGTGAGGAATGAGCACAGGAACCTCGCGTTGG